TGTCGGGTGCGGGCTCCGGGAGGGGTTCTGGGCTGGGGCAGGGGGTTAGGGTGCAGGAGGGGGTGCCGGGTGCAGGGTCTGGGATGGAGTTAGGGTGTGGGGGGGGGTTCTGGCCTGGGACAGGGGATTTGGGGATGCGGACTCCGGCCGGGCAGCACTTACTTCAGGCGGCTCCCAGTCGGCGGCGCAGCGGGGCTAAGGAAGGCTCCCTGCCTGCCGTGGCTCTGCGCTGCTCCCGGAAGCGGCCGGCACGTCCGGCCCCTAGGCAGAGGCGCAGCCAGGCGGATGTGCGAGGTGCACGTGTGACAAAGTGGGACTGTTCTTAATGTTTCCTCTGAATACTGTGTGGGTGCCTCAGTTTCCCCTATGCAGTTCTTCATTCTCTAGGTGGTGGGATAAAGGCCAGTGTGCATAAATCACTGACACTCTGTCTCCCTGGCAACAAATGGCCAGGGCCCTTCCCCCCTGCAAGTGAATAGCTAAAGGTGAACAAAGAGGTCAGGTGACCTCCTGGCCCGGGAAAGAGACAAAGGCCAGAGAGGAGGGGCTGGAGGGGGTTTCAGTTTGGGGCTGGCTGGGGACGGGAAGTGAGTGAGGACGGGGGTGTCTGGCTCACTGGGCCCCAGAATGGACCCGGCGGAGGGGTCCCGTTCTCTGTACCTACAAGCTCTGTTTTAGACCGTGTTCCTGTCGTCTAATAAACCTCTGTTTTACTGGCTGGCTGAGAGTCACGTCTGACTGTGGAGTGGGGGTGCAGGACCCTCTGGCTTCCCCAGGACCCCGCCTGGGCGGACTCGTTGTGGGAAGCGCACGGAGGGGCATATGCTGAATGCTCCCAGGAGGGACCCAGGAAGGTGAAGCCGTGTGAGCTCCTTGCCCTGAAGACAGTCTGCTCCCAGGGAGAGGAAGCTCCCCAAAGTCCTGACTGGCTTTGTGGGGAGCAGTTCCAGAGCATCGCCCGGGCACTCCGTGACAGCGCGCTACCCACACTTGCAGGCACTGCCCCCGCAGTTCCCATTGGCTGCGGTTCCCGACCAATGGGATCTGCGGAGCCAGCGCTCAGGGCGGAGGCGGTGGGTGTAGATTCCTTGATCGCACCTGTGCGTAGGGGCTGCAGGGTCATGCCAGCCACTTCCGGGATCCGTGCGGAGCCAGGGCAGGCAGGGAGCTGCCGTTACCTCGCTGGGTGGTGCCGACTGGCACTGCCAGGGTCCCTTTTCAACTGGGTAATCTGGGCGAAAACCAGACGCCTGGCAACCGTACAGAGCCTCCCCACCTGTGGGGGTCATGGCATCTCCCTCCCTTCCCACTGCTCAGGGGGCTTCTGGGGAATGTGGGAATGTGCTGGGTTTAGACACTAAATAATCCTCCTGTTTTACGCTGGCTGAGAGTCACTCCAGTCTAGAGAACAGGGGGGGCATCGACCCCTTTGGGGGGTGGAGGCCCCGGGGGTCCAGAGCGAGTGGACTCCCCGTGGGGGCCCACGGCAGAGACAGACGTGCTCAGGCTCAGAGAGGTGCGGATCCAGGAGGTGGAGGGGCCTGACCCCGAGAGAGAGTGGACCCCCGAGAAGGGTTGTCTCACTGAAAGGGGCACCCCCCACGGACCGCACGGGGCCAAGAGTGGGCACGCTCTGTGAGTCCGTGACACCCTGGACTTCAGAAAAGCAGACTTTGACTCCCTCTGATGGGCAGGATCCCCTGGGAGAATAACATGAGGGGGAAAGGGGTCCAGGAGAGCTGCTGTATTGTAAAGAATCCTCATTGCGGTGCAGGAACAAACCATCCCGATGTGTAGAAAGAATAGTAAATATGGCAGGCACGGCCGCCCAGAGGGTGGGGGGGGCAAGTGGGCCAATTTGCCCCAGGTCCTGGGCCCCGCAGGGGCCCCCACGAGAATGTCTGAGGCTCCCGCCCCGGCCCCGCTCCCGGCGCCTCAGCGCGCCGCATCCAGGAGCGGCCCTGGACAGCGCTGCAGCGTGGCTCCGGTGGGACCTGAGCTCCTCCCGCTCCGAGCCGCGTGGTAAGGGGCCGGGGCTGCAAGCTCAGGTCCCGCCGGCGCCGCGCCGCTGCAGCGCTGTCGAGGGCAGCTCCTGGACGCGGCGCGCTGAGGCTTCGAGAGAGGGCAGAGGCGGGGGTAAGCAGCATGGTAAGGGGCCGGGGCCAGGGGCAACACACAGGGTACATAAGGAATTTTTCAATTAACTACGAGTGACGGTTTGGATCACAGAAACCCCCTGGGAGCTGCCACCCACCTGATGTGCTCAGAGACTACTTCTACCCCCCGCTTTCCCCGCCAGCTCGGGCCCCCAGAACCCTGTCTTGCTGAGCCAGACACTCCCGTCTGCTCCAACACAGACCCAGGGTCTGAATTACTTGCCCCAAACCTGCAGGTTTACCTGAAAGCAGCTAACAGAAGTGTTCCTGTCTTTAACACTCAGATGCCCAACTCCCAATGGGGTCTAAACCCAAATAAATCCGTTTTACCCTGTATAAAGCTTATACAGGGTAAACTCATAAATTGTTCGCCCTCTATAACACTGATAGAGAGATATGCACAACTGTTTGCTCCCCTGAGGTATTAACACATACTCTGAGTTAATTAATAAGTAAAAAGTGATTTTATAAAATACAGAAAGTAGGATTTAAGTGGTTCCAAGTAGTAACAGACAGAACAAAGTAAGTCACTGTGACGAAGTGGGGGGGTTTCTTATTTTTTTCCGTGTTTTCCAGTGGGTTGCATGCAGAGGGAGTGGGACTCAGTGTCCCCGGGTGTTACTGGTTTAACGAGGTGAGAGGAGAGGAGGCCCAGGCCACCCTGTTTACGACCCTGTTTCCCTGGAGAGAAGACAATGGACAGAGGCGGGACCTGGGGCCGGTGATCTCAGATGCCCAGCTGGGAAGCAGGGGGGCTCTGGGCTGGAGAGGGGGAGCAGGCAGAGCCCACCTGGATGCAGGGGAGACTGGGATGTGCTGGGCTGGGGGGGGCTGGGCCTGGGGCCCTGAGAGTTTCCTGTGCTGTGTTCAACTCTCAGTCATCAAGCCGAATAAAATAAAATGCGCAAATCTATGTCTAATCAAACTGAATACAGATAAGATTCTCCCCAGTTCCAGAATGCTCCCTTTTACAGACTAATCTCCTTTTAGCCTGGGTCCAGCAATCACTCACACCCCTTGCACACTGTCCTTCGTTCCAGTTTCTTTCAAGTATCCTGGGGGGTAGGGAGGCTCTTTAGCCAGCTGAAGACCACCATGGAGGGGTCTCCCAGGGGTTTAAATAGACTTTTTCTTGTGGGTGGAGACCCCCTCCTCACTCCTATGCACAGTCCAGCTCCAAGATGGAGTTTAGGAGTTACCTGGGCATGCATGCAGATAGGATTAATAGATTCAGTAGATCATAACCTTTATATAGATATGTTACATAGCATCAGTAGATCATATTCCAGTTATGTCATATTCCCATAAAGCATTATTGGGTACAGCGTCACACTACCTAAAAAAATGAAAGATACCAAGGGAATTAATTTATTTGCAGGTATCATCACATAGTCAACGATCGTAGGGGTTAGAAAAATGAAACGTACATATCTTTCAGGATTTGAGAAGAGAAAGCAGAAGAAAGCTAGAGAGACGCAAGAAGAAAAGGGAAAAATAACAAATTTCTTCAGGCACAGTCCAAGTCAAGTCATGCTGACAGTCAAGGCTCTTCAGAGGTAGGAAGTGAAAGTGGTGTTGTAAGAGAAAAAGAAAAGGTGGTGTGTGAGGAATCCAAAATATTACCACATTCAGAAAACAATGTTATGGTTGTTGCGGAGGAAGGGAAGGAAATCCAGCCTCTTTGGCTAGACAATGGAGAACACAGCGGTGACACTGCTATAGCTGAGAAACTGGCACAGTCGACTAGTCCTGCTGCTGTAGATGGGAATGACGAAGAAGAGTTGTGCAGTAATGACCCAGCCCCTTGGAAGTACCTAGATATAAAGAAAAGAGATCTTACTGTATTGAAGGATCCACCCCATTAGCCGAAAACTTTCCTCGTGATTCTTTTGGCAGGAAATTGCCGATAACAGTTTTTTCTAAACATCGGAGTAATGGCGAATGTATTGAAAGAGGCTGGATGGTGTGGAGTAAAGATGCTGCAGCAATATTTTGTTTCCCCTGCAGTCTCTACAGAAGTGAAACTCAAACTAACCAATTACATAGTTCAAAATGTGTCGAAGGTGGAATTGCCGATAATTGGAAAAAGATTTACGAGAAAATCAAGAGTCATGAAGAAAGCGCTTTACATTTGAGCAATTACATTAAGTGGAAGGAATTATTTCAGACACTCGGTGATCAAAGAGGCATTGATGCAGCATTACAGCTTAGTATTAAACAGGAGGAGGAAAAATGGCGTAAAACATTAACTGCCGTTGTTGACGTAATTCTTTTCCTAGCAAAGAATAATCTGCCATTTCGTGGTAGCCATTCTACTGTTGATTATGACGACTGTGGGTTTTTCTTGTCAACACTGCAGCTTGTGGGCAGGTACAATACTGAGGTGAAACAACATCTAGAGACGGAGGCTCAATGCAGAGAGTGTGGTGGAAGAATGCCGGCTCACTACCTGTCATGGCGTAGTCAGAATGAGTTCTTGAAACGGTGTGGGGAGAAAGTTTTGAACTCTATTCTTGAAGA